TATATATATATATATATATTATGCATATATGGAGTTATACTTAGTTTATTAGTTATATTTGTTATAGTTATACCCCAATATATGAGATAGTGGTTCCAAAATATCACAATGTGGAACTGGCTGATTCACTTGTAAAAGTGGAAATCCACTTTCCAGTTGTGGCTAAAAAAGAGTGTAAAGAAGTCCATGCCCATGCCATATGGGTAAACATAGAACAAGTACCTAAACCTTTCCTATATTTGATCATAATGTTATTTTATACACTGTGCTTTCACAAATTTCACAATCGACCACGCCACCTACTTTTTTTTTCGTGTTAAAACCCCTTTTCAACAGTGATATCGGCGTGTTCGTAAAAGAAAGTAGTTCTTGAAGTTCCTTGACCAAGTTGAGGACAATTTCATATAAGATTTTTCATTTATTGATTACAGAATTTTTGTTAAGAAGGATTTGATTTTTTTTTAATTGTTAGTTGAATTAAAAAAAAAAAAAAAAAAAAAAAAAAAACTACCATGTTGTACTTGTCACTAATTTTAGAAACAATTTCCTAGATATAAGGATAGTTAGCATTCGGGCATTTAGCATTAGGCATCAGTTTCAGTCACTGCAATGAAAATTGTGGTCTTGGGGAGGGGGAGAGGACGAAGGTGTGCACGAACATGCTTTTCGAGATGCAAGGAAAACCACAATAATTTTTATTTTTATTTATTTATTTTTTAAGAAGAACCACAATTATATTCAAACCCAAGAAAAAAAATGTAAAAAAAAAAATGCAAAAAAAAAAAAAAACTACAATAATACATTTGCTTTAGAAAAATATACACACATGAGAGGCCCCTATTCTGACAAGTTCCAAGACTCAAACATCCCATATATATATATATATATATTGGTATTCTCATGATACAAAGTTGAACTCATCAAGTGGGGAGTCGCAAATTTTGACCTAACATGCACATGACTATTTCCATAGCCAAAATGTTACGCCTATGTTTTAGTTGGCTTGCCTAGTCTGAGGCATTAATGACTTCACCTAAACAAAAGTAAGGTTAAGACTTGGCCCAAATTCACTTATTAAACGCTTGAGGACAAGTACTTCTAATCAGTTCAGCGGATGAGCATTATCCAATTACTTTTATTCTCTAACAAGCTTTAAGATTTTCAATGATTTTTTTTCCCCCCCTTTCCAAATCCATGTTCAAAAGGATAATTGACATTCGTATAAGAGCAATTGAGGACAAAGAGAAAAGGAAAAAAAAAAAAAAAAAAAAAAAAAAAAAAAAAAAAAAAAAAAGGAAGTTTAGGATAAAAGCAGATTAATATTCCGATGATTTTTCAATTTCCCAAGCTGGTGCATGTCTAAGCTTTTCTCTAAGACCTCTCTTGGATGTCAAAAAAGAAAAAGAACAGAAGAAAAGATACTTTTTTATGTGTATCTAAAGTGATGCTCTTGACTTATAGAGCAAGCTAGCTTCAAAGAAGTACTTGCATAAGCCCATTTTCCAAATTTAAACAGGAATAATAACAAAAACTTCTATAATGTTTTATCAAAATATTGTATTTCAATTTTCACCCTGTGTTTGAAAAATATTGTACTTATCCTCTATCTTTTATAAATCACGTTAAAGCTTTTTCGAAGAGGATGTTTTTAATGCGATTTGTTAGGAAGTATTTTTAACATGATTTGTAGAACGTAACACGGTTAACGAAATTTATAAAACATACGAAAAAGGAGTGGCATTCATTGAAACATAGAGTGAAATGCAACATTGCGATGAAATATATGAGAGGTTTTAATTTGCTATTAGCTCCTATTAAGTATTGAGAAAATGTTGCAATAATACCACTACTTGTACTATTTCATTTATTTATTTTTTTTCCCCCACTCATAAATTTCAAGTGCAAGTTTTGAGACTACTTAAATTACTATTATTATAAAAGTCGTGCAGGCTTTAAAAAACAAATTTCTAATGAATTGAAAAACTAATACAGTAAAATATTCTTTGCATTTAACATTTTCTTTACACTTTTGAAACTTGATAGTTGATAGGCATATGTTGGTGGGCCAAGCTTATTGACCACCAGCTCCTTGGGAATTTTTTTGCATACTTTTTAAATGACTTTCACACCATATAAATGCACACACATTTTACACATACTTCTCCGACTTATAAATCCCGGAACTTATTCCTCACATATAGTATTTTCTCAAGTCACAAAAAGTTAATTAAAATTCCCAACTTCTTTAATTTTGTTTCTTCCACATTTAAATCATTAACATGAATAATGGCTGCAACGAGGAGAACAACTGCTGCTATTTCCATCCAAGAGAGGTCGTCGTTGGGGTTTGCCCATTTTGCTTGAATGAGAGGCTTCTCATGTTGGCCTCAAGCCATCAAGGCCGTCGTCGTTCATCATCATCATCATCATCAAGATGCAAGACAACCACTTACAAAGCTCATCAAAACGACAATATTCATCACATCAACAACGTCAAGAAGCCCCCCATTAACTTCCAGAAGATCTTCGATTTCAGCTCGCTTCTTCACCGCCTCGAATTCCGGCCTTGGAAGCCTGAGAATTTCTCCTATGGCGATCATGATCACGATGTTTCCACCAGTCAAGAAGGTAAGAAAATGTTAATATTATTTTGTTGTGGCTTTGGATGATATTGTAGTACTACTTGTGCTACGAAATCCAAAAAAATTGTTTTTTTTTTTTTTTTTTTTTTTTTTTTTTTTTCAGAAGTAGTTGCAGATAGATAATTAGAAGCTGGGGGAAAACATGAAAGGAAGGATTGGAAATAGATTTTTTTTTATTTATTTTTGTTTTTTGTTTTTCCTTTCCTTTCTGTTTTAGAAGGCAAGTTTTGTAGTGCAAGAGTACTAACATGAAAAAGAAAAAAGGAAAGAAAAAAAGAAAAAGAAAAGGTATGTGTAATGTGATTAGTAGGGACTTGTTAATTAATTAAAGGTTGAATCATAAGAATGTCAGTGAGAAATTCTTTTAGAATACTCAAAAGGGATTTTGAGACTAATGGTGAGTATGTACATCAACAACAATTCAATATTTTCTCACAAAAGTTGTGGTAATATCATTGGTCATGATTTTACTTTAATATATATATATATATATATGTGTGTGTGTGTGTGTGTATATGATAAGTCAAGAGAGAAATAATATTGTAAGGCACTGAAGGGTATTAGGTAAATTAGATCAACCAACGCAATGAAAAAAGGGTCGACTAGTTTGTCAAACGTGTTGAAAAAGCTGCATAGTTTTTTTTTTTCCCTTTACTTTTCTTTGGACAAAAGAAAAGAAAAGAAAAGAAAAGAAAAAGAAAAAAAGCTTAGCCACATTTACCTTTACTTCGATTATGTAGATTCGTGCAATGAAATTCTTGGAGGTACCCTTTGGGACCTTTTCTATATGTACATGATATATGATCTGTTTCGTGCCATTAATTTCTCGTTAATAATATCATGTCCTTAATCTCTATGTATAATTGTTGTCATCAACGGAAATAAAAAAAAGTACACATATATATAAAGCTCCAGGCCTTATATGTATGATATAAACACCAAATAAAGCAGAAGAAATCTTGATAAGATTACGGGGGAAAAAAAAAAACAAAAACTTACCACCAGGCACAGTTCCGAGTCAGTTGGGATTTTTATCAGGTTATATTAAATTGTCATACTTTTTTAGTATAATATGATTCAACAGTTCAAAATTGTGTCTTACTGGGTTTTTTTTTTTTTTTTTTTTTTTTTTTTTCCAATACCAGTGCTCTGTGTTAAGCTACACCACAAAAATTAATTAGAAATTACCCAATTTAACTTTCCAACAGATTCTTTCATATCAATCAAGTTTGAGGACAATGGAATGGCCTCATGGGAAAAGAACAACAACAATAATACAGTGTCAAAAGTGTCACTAGAGAATTGCAATGTGCCATGGAAGAAGAATCACAGCCTTGGCAAAGAACAAGCTGAGACCAAGACTGTGATAGAGCATGGGAAACCACGTGCCTCCTCGCTGAGGTGGCGCAAGCGGATTGGTCACCTCTTCCAGCTCATGAGATGGAAGAAGTCCAACAAAGGGACAGTTTGCCATGTTAGCAGCAAGGTGGAAGGTGTCAAGGTAAGGAAGGGCTGGATAAGAACTCTGACAAAGAAGAGGACCATGTAATAAAGGCATTTTGTAGAGAATGTGACACCAATTAATGGTTTTTTCTTTCTTTTCTTTTTTTTTTTTCTTTTTTGTCTCACAAATTGACTGTAAAGTCATGTATTATTGGAAATGTGGTAGAGTCAAATTGGTACTTTAGCACTCTTAAAGATTGTGTTTTCTCTTTTGCTTTGAGCTATTGGGGTTTCATTGTGTTTTCCCCTTTTTTTTATGTTTTTAATTTTTTTTTTTCTTTTCCCTCTTCATTCTTTATAAATAGTACAGGTTGTAAAATGATAATATTCTTGAAGCATTCTTTGGCTTCAAATGGTATATGTATAGATTTCTATATATATAAGATTATACGATAAACTTTGTATGTATTCCTTTTCACATGCCAAACATTGCCAAACCCCATGTTAGACACACCTATATAGTGGGAAACAATATAGAGCAAATAAAGGGTCATCGTCATGGTGCTGGAACTTGTCATGTACTTGTCCTTGGTGATAGAATATATCTTGTTTCCTTCTCATTGAGATAGATAATTTGAAATTGAAAATTGTGCATAGCTATTAGCTGTATATATATATATATATATATATATATGTAGATATATATTTCTATACCATGTCCCATGAATTAAATTAGTGTTTACTGTTTTATATTGAGTCTAAACTACTCTTCCCACGTGCAAGACATCCCAAATGTGTGAAGAGTGACGATAAGGCCTGATTTGTTTGGTTGTCCCCTTGATTGGGGTAATTTGTCCCCATGTGGCAACTCTTGCTCTAGATTGGGGCCATTGGTATTGTAATAGGACCACTGTAGAGTTTGAAAAAAGTTCATATGTAGTGGACGAAAATGACTATATTAAAAATTAAAAATTAAAAGATAAAAAAATTGGAGAGATGGAGTGTGGCTCTACATGTGCCCCACACGTACGCATGGAAAATAGCTGATTTACATAATGGCCCTTAGGCAATTGTGAAAATCTGTGGTGGCAAACAAAACAAGTTAAAAGCTCTGCTACAAAAACAGTCTTTTGTGGGGTTTGTTCGTGATAAGTGATAAACATAATTTGCAACATGAAGAACAAAGCAGAAAAGATCATTATTTTGGTCACAGGAAGTCAGGCTACATGGGTATGGAATATCGAACTGCTGAATCTCATCAGAGTCATCAGTTCTGAATAAATGATCTGGTACAAAAACTTTTTATCATATTCCAAAACATGCTTTAAGACAGAAAGCAAACAAACACTAGAAGGGGACGTGATGGGCAATCATATGTGATGCAGTTCGGACCAAAGAAAATAGGACCAATCCGGAGTGAAACCTACACTTCAACTAAATACGATGAAATCACTAATTATTTATTAAGATGATAAAACTGTTCGTTCTCCTGAATCTCATCTCGCTACGGTAGGTGGGGGGTACTATATGAATAATTCACTTCCTTACAAGCTCTTTTTCTTTGTTCATGAGCGCCAAAAATAATAATAATAATACTAATTTTAAAAAAAATCGTTTCCTATACCCAGTTGTTTGGTCACAGCCTTTATGAGCGGGAAAAGTCCCATGGATCGAACATGGGGCACGTGGCAACGATCAGTAGCATGATGGAATAATTATTATGAATGTGAAATAAATATAGGACCAGAATAAAAGGGATACTGATCCAATGCGAGGTAAGAAACACAGAGACACTTCCAAGAATCAGTTAGCCAAGATCAAATTTGAACCAGTGTAAATACAATATCAAAATAAAAATCTTCTTAAGTTGATTGAATAACGTAGACCCTATGTGGGATCAACACAAATGATGTTAACCCCACATGCATGGAGATTGGAGATGTAATGATTTGCTGACACGTTGCATGCCTCTATATTAGGAGACGTTAGGTTAATAAATTAGAATCATAAGATTAGAATCATTTTCGATTTACATGTATTTTTTGTCAAAGAAAACACTGAGCGAACCATGAACCATGATTCAAATCATGGTATGAATCCTCTTATCAAACGTCTCCAATTCGAATTAAGATGTGACTTTATGTGAGAGCTTTTTACTGTAACAAAAAAGTTAGATGTGACTGTTTTTTAGAGATTTTTACTATAGTAAAACTCAAATTTTAAACTCGAATCGGTGAAATGAACAAAGACTAACCGTAGATGCAAATTTCCTTTTCTTTATATGTCCATTATATATATATACACATATTTTCTTTAAAAAAAATTTATTCATGCATTTGTTTTTCTTTTTTGATGGAAAAATTACTAATGCAAGTTGATTCCGCAAAATATAGATGCAAGGTGGAACAGAAGACAATCCTCGATGGTCCTCACACTCGGCTCGGCCCAACTCAATTCGTCGTCAATTTAGTATGGGCCCTGGCATCAGTGGATGGATGACCCCGGCCCATCTTCGTCTAAAGAGGGGAAAGTCATGGGCTTAGACATATGTCATGATACATACCTCCAGATTTTATTCTGCGTAGCAGATTTGATAAACTTACGGTCAGACGGAGTTTTCTTTCTACCACCAAATATAGTGCTTTTTAGTTTTGACCTTTCGTCATATGTAATGGAAGATAATAGTAGTAACAACATACTCTTTATCAAGTAGAATATTATATCTTTCATAATAAAAAAAAAAGTAGAATATTATTTCTACAGAAAAAGAGAATTCTTATTATTTGTTTAAAACATCCATTCTTAAAGGTTTTAACCCATCATACATACAAGTACGTACCTACTTGCATACACTCATACAGAAATACATTACATACCAACGTACATACAGACACATATACAAACATAAATACGTCAATACATATTAATATTGATTCACGCATATGGTGATTAATAAAATTCAAGAGGGTCTAAAGCACGCTAGTCTCAAAGGAGTAAATGGATCAGAAAAAGCCCCGGTAGATACTTTGTCAAATATGACCTTATTAGCTGCCTCAGTGTAATGAACTCCATCCCAATCCACCCTAACTGACGCTTCTCCACATGAACCAACAAATATTTGAGTTCCATTAACGGTAATAGTTCCCCCACAACCAACACTATCACTGTAGTTGTACTCCCCCCCATAGCCACAACAAGCAACTAATGGGAGCTCAAATCCTGCAAACAAAGCAAAAAAGTAATTATTATAATAATCTCTGTTTTGTTAATTAATCATTGCTTTTCAAGCCCAATTCAAATTAATTTTGTAATTTATCTTTTCTTAATTACCATATTTGTGAGGATCCGTAAACAAAGAGTATTTGACTTTGTAGACATCCACGTATGTTATAGCAGCCAGAGGAAACTCCCTCCTGAGTTTAGTGACGGCATTTAGTAAAACGTAGTTGAAATACTTGGCCACTTCATTGAAAGGTTTTGCACACCCGGCCTCATCTCTCTCTGCTGAGGGGAAATTGGCCAAAATGTAGGGTAGACACCCTATTGGCCCTGTGTTGTGTATCCAAAATGACCTACCTCCGGAAATGTTGTGTATATTCTACATTAATGTGACCAAAACTTCTTGTAAGTATTCAATTCTAATGAGAATCATTTCTCTTAATATATATATGAACAAAAAAAAATGATTGTTTAAAAATTACATAACATGGTAGTTATTAAAAACAATATTAATTATGTTATGTATTTTCAAGGTTAATGTTACATTCACTTATAATGTAATGTTACATTTTCCACTTCTACATGTTACATTAATCTTCCATTCAGATGGATCACATCAAAAGCCTACAGAGTGGAGTCAAGGGCCTAAACAAACATATTATATATTACGAGAATTTTAAGGTAGGGTATGAAAAATATCATGTCAATAGGGCTATGCGTTTTACTCTCGGATTTGGATCGTATTATAAATGTATGAGTCTGAACTTTTTTCTCTTACTCTTGATAAATATCTTTTTGTTAGTGTACTCATTTGACTAAAAAGGTTATGAATAAAAAATAAAAGGTAAAAATCTTGATCCATACACTTTTAAAAAGTATTTGTCAAAATTACTCTAGTTTCATATACTTTTTCATTTGAATATGATTTTGATCAAATCCAACCTTCAAGAAAGGTCTTATTATTTCTTTTAATCAATGTGTTTAAGCTGTTTTCGTTTCTTTTTAATTTATTTGTTTTAGTTCTCACCCTCTGGCCCCGCTTCTCATTAGAGGCGGATGGGGGTGTTTTGGTCGGTGAGGAATGGGGTCTACAGAAGCCTTCTCCAATTTTGATCTCTAAAAATTTTATTATTACCAAGTAAGGGGTAGAACTAGGCACAAGTTGAAATTTTTAATTTTTTTTCTTATTAGAATTATAGATAGGGTGTGAAATAGCATTGATAGGATTCTATTTTTTACCGTTAAATTTTTATATGATATTCATAAACATACTCCGGTAAGAATATCTTACCGTAAAAAAACTCTATTTTTTTAGCCTAAAAATACTAGCTTATCTACAAATGGGTTTTAAGAACGAAATAAGCTAAATCTTAAAAGTCTAAAAGAAAACACCTTAAAGTTTGTTGAGAAGCTGTTGACGATATCTGGCACAGATTGATTAACTTCCTGCACGGACTTATTTGAGAAGAACCCCTCGCCAAGATCATTCTGACCAATGTCAAACGTGTACAAAGCCTTGTGAAAATACTCATCTTCGGATAGTGTTTCATCTACATATCAAACAAACTTATTTTCAGTCCTAACATAGTTATTATGCAATATTCACATGGGCATCTAGTAATTAAAAGGGTTAATCACATTGGTACTCTTGAATTTGAGATTCGTTCCCAGTTTAGCCAATGACCTTTAAAAACTCTTATATTGCCTTTTAAATTTCAAATTAATCGCATTTAGCTTTCTCTGTTAGAATTTATGTTAAAAACAGACAGGAAAAATGAGAGTAGTGCATTAATCGTAGAATTTGTATTAAAAACAAATATATAACAAAAAAATGTGACAGCACTTAATTCTATTTTCCCGTTTGATTACCAAAAGAAATTTAAGTGAGACTAAATCAAGAGAGCTTTTACAATTCAGGGAGTAAGACTAAAAATTATGATCATAAAAGTTCAAAAGGCACGAATGGGAATAACCCAATTCACCATTACAAGCTTTTTACCTTGATTTCTCGTCGTTTCCCGGTGTTTGGATTTTAGTCGAACAAATTGTGTGTATTGGATGTCAAGATAGAAGGGACTAAATCCACCTGCTGGTATAATGCGACTAGGCAATCTGATTGTAGAAGCTGCCGTGGCGAAATTGGCACCTTGCTTGTGCTTGGTCCCCAGGGAATCCAAATACGCGTTGAGGTATGGTAGATCAAAACTTTTCGCTAAATCATCACAAAATTTATCAAACATTATTTTAGAAATGTATATGCTTCCTGAGATCCTATTTATAATATTATCTGTGTACTTATTAGTAAAACAATCAGAGCTATGAGAGCTGCAAAAGGAACTTAAGGTCAAGACACGACGGACGTTTAAGAGAAGATTTCACATCTCCTTACATATGGTTTTTCAGGCCTCTTGGGAACAAATTTAAAACTCTAAGGCTCCGTTAATTTCACCGATTCGAGTTTTACTACAGTAAAAAACTGTCAGAAATAATTACATCTAACTTTTTTACTACAGTAAAAAGTTCTCACATAAAATCACATCTCAACTCTAATTAAAAATTCGAATTAACGAACTAAACAAGCTCTAATACACTATCCTTTTTCCACTTAAAGAAAAGTGCAAAAACAAATATATACAAACCACTTTTCCTTTCTCATCTCATTTCAGTTAATGTGAGACAAAACCCATATTTATCAAATTTCATTTAACAGATTTTAGAGCTTGTTCGATAAGTGGGAAGTACGGAAGGAGTGATTGGGTTTAGAGAATCGGTAGAAGGATTTTGGGACGGGGGCTTTATATATGGTTGTCGAGTAAGAAAGAAAAGATTTCAAAAAAAAAAAAAAAAAAAAGGATTGTGTGAGATTTTAAGTCCACTAAACAGCCCAAGTTTTAATCTCGTCTACTATAAGCAAATTAATTAGAGGAAGAAATCTATACCCAATACAACCTCTCAAATTTTCTCACTCAAATAATTATTTGTATATATTTCTGTTTTTTTTTCACCCATCAAATAATTCTTAGATTGAGATTTGAGTGTGTGTGAAGCACCGTTAGGTTTAAGAAGTTATGGCACGAAGCAGAAGGCGAAGACTACATTGCAGGCCTTTGAGCCCAAAAACATTGATCGTTGACCAGTATGTTTCGTGGAAAAAAGTAACTTTGATGGGAAGGAAATAAAATAGGATAAAAAGAAAATATAGAAGTGATAAAAAATAATAATAATAGAAAAGAAATTAATTTTTTTTTATGTTGTTTGGTATGAGAAGATGGAAAGAAAATGAGCTTACCTTAACTTATTTGGTATTAGAAGTTAAATTGAGAGGAAAGAGAAAATATTACTCATAAATTATTTTTATACCCTTAAATTTTTTACTTAGATATTGATGGAGAAAATGCTAGTTTAGTAACTTTACTCACTTTAATTAATTGTCTCTATTTTCCATCACATTTTCCGCCCATTTGTGAAAAGAAGAAAAATGGTGGGACCCACATGTAATATTTTTCATTCTATTTTCTCTTCCTTTCTCTTTTCCCTCCTACCAAACAACATACATTTCTATTTTTTCTCTCAAAATCTCTTCACCTTCTTCCTTTCTTCTACTTTTTTTTCCTACCAAACATACTCTAAATGACGATATATACACACGTGTAAATTATGGAACTCACCGACGACTATTTTGATAGTTGTTCTGCAAGATTTTTTCTAGGATATGGAACATAGTTCTTGCACAATATACCATTATTTAATATTTTTGCACACAAAAAAGAGAAAGAAAATGTCGTTATTTCCTTTACGTCCTATCACTCTTGTCGTTTCCTTCTATTATGTGCGAGATTGGAAACTCCGACTTACGGTAATATGATAAGGATAATAGATTATTAATTTAAATAATTTGTATTTAGCTTATCTATAGTGTTTAGAAATTATATAAGTATTAGATTCAAATTCAAATACCTCATTTAATATTTAATTATATATGTATTATATATATATATATTATTTTCTTCAAAGTCTCAATTAGAGGTGTAGATTCGAGCCAACTCAATTCATTATTTTTACTAAACTGGATTGGACCGATCTCTCGACAAGTCGGCCTAAAATTTATAAGGTGTTTTTAAGAAAAATTTTTAAAGAAAAAGGTATTTGGACAAGGCGGAATAAGGTTTCAGACTTGAAACCTCGGTTCTAGGGCCGATAATATGAGTCACGACACAACAATACGACTCGAAAATAACACGAATTTCGCGGGTTAGGGTTGAGAAAAAAGAGGTTCGGGTTAGAATTAGGTCGACCTAAAATTGACACGAAAAACACAAGTCAATTTCGGATTGGATCCGCCTAGCCCGAACACGACACGAAATTCGTAAAAAACTAAAAAAATAAATATAATTTTCATTACATATTTTTTATTTTATTATGAACTTGTAATATCATGATAGTTATACTCAAAATCTTATACTATTATTTGCTTAATTTTAATGGATGTTATTGTAATTTAGTGAGTTATGAATTTTATGTTATTTCTAATATGTAAAAAAACTAAATAAAAGTATACAATTTTCGTGTCAATTTTGGGTTCATAGGTCAATTTCGTGTCACAGGTCATTTCGTGTCGTGCCGTGTCAATCCATAAAGTGGTCGTGTCGTGTTCATGTTGTGGTTTTTAAAAAATTTCGTGTCACGGGTCGTATTCAGGTTAATTGTAAATTTTAAAAAAATAATTAAAACACGATACGAATACGACACGTGACACGAATTGTCACCCCTACTCAACTCGGTAATTTGAGCTGGGCCAATAATGTCAGATCTCAGGCCGTCTCGTTTGACCCGGCCAAACTTTCACCCCTGGTCTTAGGCCTCGTTCATTTCACCAATTCGAGTTTTCAGTTTTAGGTTTCTACAGTAAAAAGTTCTCAGAAAATGTCACATCTAACTTTTTTTGCTACAGTAAAAAGCTCTCAAAAAATATTACATCTCAGTTCGAATTGAAAACTCGAATCTACAAAGTGAACGGGGCCTTAATCTATTGAAAAGAGAGAGAGGGGGATAGAGTGTGTGAGAGAGTGCTATGACCTCAAAATCATTTTCAAAACAAAATAGGGTTGGAATTGATTGTTTCTGCATATATTTTTCTTCTTAAGAGTATATAACATTATTGCCTTCAGAAACTTCAGTACTTATGTGTTGCAAGTCATGAAAGTATCTACAAGCTCATGACCTCTTCTAGTTTGGCTTATATATGTAATACAAAACTTAAAGATACATAGTCTCAAAAGTACTGTGGTGAAAAAAAAACATACCTATGAAATCAATCATGAGGCGGCCATCGGAAAATCTCCCAGCGGGCTCATGAAAATAGGTCTCTCCATAGGGAGGGCTCAAATATGCAGGAAATGCTGAGGCCAATCCACCGGTGTCCGAATTAGAGTCACCGAAGTTAAATATTGCCGGAAAATCGCATTCTTTAGCACTATGGACAATATCCAACAAAGTAATAGAAGATAAAAGGAAACAAGAACAGAAGAGAGGTGTAACAAATTTGACCATTATCTTAAGAGACTCCATGGGGGAACCAAAGGATGCTCTTTTAGTTATCAGATAAGAATATATCCCGTAAAATGTTTGATTTATAGGAGCAAGATGGAGGGTCTTCAGTGCGACTTTTCTCTCATACTTTTCTTTTTTTTTTTTTTTTTTTCTTTCTTTTCTCCTTGTTAATAAGCTATCTAGAAACCTTTTTTTGGCTTTAATATCTAGAGAGACTTGAAAAGGACAGCCATGTTTAGATACATAAGTACTCAAGTTCATCTTGAACTGCAGGGACAAATGTAAGTAGGACATTAATTGGAAACAATTACGGGTCCAAAACAAGTCATTCTAGTAGACCCACTAATTGTTGATTTGTATAAGTTACTGCTGGTTTATCTACACATTCTTATGGGTTTCAGTTTTCAAATGTTCAAAACTTCAACTAATCGTTAATTTATTCAGTCGTCTGTGCATGTATGTCAAAATTTTGCGCAATCTTTTGTTTTTTTATGAAATAATCAACACAATCATGTTTGACTTTTTTTTCCTTTTCTTTTTGAAGGAGATGTTTGACATAATTTAAATTTTGGAAAAATCGAGACTTCTAATTTTTTTTTTATTGCAAAAATTAACGGTGTGGATTGTAACTAGGTTTGGGCTGAAGCACAGAGGGACCCGCTCGTTCTGTGGGTAGGGGAACAGAAGTAAAGTCGTCGGCGCGCGCTGGGTGACCATGGTTGAGGGGAGGAGTTGGGTCGTCGGGTTAAAATCAAGCCAACGTCGCGCGCCATCACATCGTGTCTGGAGTCAATCTTCAGTTCAAGTGCTTGAATCGCCGTCTATAGAGCTTAAGTATCAGCGGAGTCAAGCCGCTGTGAGTTTGCATTGCTGCCGCCATTTCAATCGAAGACCAAGAAAAGTTTTGGGTGCTCTGATACCAATATGGCGTAGGAGCAGATCGGAGGTGCTTTTTCAGACAAATCTGAGAAACAATTTAGAAAAGAAATGCGCTCTAATCCAAGAAGCTATTCAATAGAAATGGAAAAAGAACCTAATCTCAATTTCCCAAGTTATGTTAACAGCCTCGATAGGAGCAACAACTAGGGTCGATACTCACTCAAGGGTAGTTGGGGAAACTAGCAGCAAAATGCACAGTACAAAGAAACAACTATATCATAAACCACCATCAACCAAAGGCAACGACAGGGCACTTTGAAAATTATTACAAACGACACTAAAACATAAAGGATAAATAATCTCCTGCATCAGTTAATCAATCAATGTCAATCATTGATCGGCATTAGTTAAACACTAGCAAAGCAAGAGGTAATTTTGCGCTCTAAAAAAAGTTAATAAATTTTATACAACAGTAGTAGATTATCCATGTATATTTATACATGAATATATATATATAAAATATTGTCAAAGTTATTTACAAAATATATATATATATATACACACACACATAAGATACTGTCATGTGAAGTTATTTACAATATATATAATTCTTTGTTGTTGTGGCCCCTTTAGTGGATTAAAAAACATCAAGGGAAACATATTCAAATGATAAGGAGATAAAAAAAAAATTGGAATAAGTAAAAAAATATATACATATATAAAATGATGTGAGTAATTTTTGAGTATATTATATAATATTGAAAATATAAAAGCTAATTGTAATCATCATCACTACATATAAAGAGGTAGAAAAGGGTACAAAAAAGGAGTAAAATCAACCTATGAGGATTAAAAAGGTCAAGCAAGTCCTACAACAGAGTCAAAGAGAGACAAACAATGAAATCAACTTATGAGAAGTAGAGAAACTAATAGCCCGTTTGGTTGGAGAATTCGTTCTCTGATTCGAATCATGGTTTATGATTCGCTACAGTATTTTCTCTCACAAAAAATACATGTAAATCGAAAATAGTTCTAATCTCATGGTTCTAATCCATGAACCAAATGAGCTCTAAACAATTCCTATACTGGAAAAAGGACGAAAAAAGAAAAGAAAAAAAACTAAACCGTTTGTATAGTGGAAAAAGGAAAAGAAGAGGAAAAGAATATCATAGATAATAGTAATATGGGTCAGTATAGAGAGTAGGTTTTAGTTAATTTTTAATAGAGATATAAGGTTAATCATAATAATTATTAGCAATTAAAAGAAGTTTGCCAACGTTTATTAAGAATTAATAGAAATCTTTTCCAATACTTTGGCTTGATAACATATTAAGAGAGATAGAGACAACTTATTTTAACATTTAACATAGGAAACTAATATGTATATATTGCAAGCAACAAATGCTAAAGAATTCTAGATAGGAGCTATTAAACATACCTCAAACGCTATAAATTCCCCTCAAAGTTGCTAATCAGCAGCCAGCTATACAGAACTAACAGAGTAGGACAATAATAGTAGCAAGCCTTATAAATACAAAGAATTGAGTAAGCAAATAAATAAATAAATGGAAACAACAAATTAAAAAAGTAAAAGGCATAGTTATAGTAATATTTTTGTGCATTAATTATGACTTAGATATGGAATATTTTCAGCAATGTGTGATAACTATGTAGTGGCTGCCTACTAAGGGCAACTTTGTGGCTCCCTACTAAAGGATATTGTACAAAAGAGTAAGATATTATATCTATCAAACAAATTATAACTTATATATGATGCAAAATAAATAGGTGGAGTGGAGTAATATATAAAGTTGTGCTGAGACTACCAGGTGAATAAAAAAAAGAAAAGGGCCCAAAAAACAAAAAAAAAAAGACGAGACCTAACAAAACAATAAAAATTGCAACCTATGCGAAAAGAAGGCAAAGGAAACTGAGGGAAAAAGAATAAGTGCTAAAAAGCAATGATTAGAAGAGAAATGGCCAAAACCAGTACAATAAGTGAAAATAACAAAGAGAATTACAGGAACGATAACATAGAAGAAAGAAAGGTCAGCAGTGGAAAAAGAAATTTTATGTAACTATGGATAATATTTGAGTAAAACAATAGAAGAAAATTAGGGCGGCACCGATTGCAAAATTACCAAAACCAAGAAAGAGAGCAAATAAAGAGAGCGGAGAAAATGAGGGAATCGAGCAGGTAAGAAAAATCAGAGTTGCAGCGGTTGCAAAATTACTAAAAAAACAAAACCCAAAAATCCACAAAAGGAGAAAGAGCGGGGGCTAAACGGGAAAAGCAACCCATCCGAGACACGGAAAAAGACCAAACCGCCCTTGCACCAGACAAGAAGGGAACAATAAATTGAGGGCAAAATCATCACTTCACTGCAGAAGGAACACTAAAGTGAGTCTGTATGAACAGTAACCCGCAATTCTTTTTTAGTATATTTATAATGTATTAAATTGGTCAAACAATGATTAATCACCAAATTAATTATTTAATCATTTAAACAACGGTTATTTTTCTAATTTAACAAAGCTTGAGATATTTATTGAAACAATACTTTAGAGAAGGACACGTTACCCCATATATTCGAAATTGAACCCAAGACTACTTGCATTCTCTTTTATTGTCGAAAGTGAGAACCACACTAACGAGTGGTGGAGCGACCTAGGCGGCAGCTGCACCCCTGGCCCAAGGGGGTCCTTTCAGTTTTGCCCCAAAAATAAATAAATAAAGATAAAAAAAAAAAAACCCAAGAATTACTGCATCCAAATCATATTCATATACGACATCAACTAATAAAAGCAGTGAAGTAATCTTTCTTAAGCGTTCAAAGTCAAGTACGCAATCAATTTTGACATAATAAGCTTTAATAAGTATAAGAGGCCACAAATGAAGAGTGCATGAAGACACAACACAATTGGGATTTGGAAAAACAAATCAAACCGATTATAAAAGAAATCAGAAGTAAACCAATATGAAAATGTCCCTGGAAAGCATGGTAACCAAACACCTCAAACTGCCAATTAACCATGAGGATTATTATTGTAATTTTTTTCCAACTATAACATGCCATAATGAACATTCCCTATGCCAAAATTTTAGCAATATGAATGATAGTCCATAAAACGTTCAAATAATAACAATGTTGCAACTTATTTTGGTATATACTCAGCCGTTCATACCACAGTTCAAAATAATTAAAAAAAATAAGGATGCAAACATTAAAAATAAAAAATTCAAAAAATGATATATAAACAAGTGAGAATGGAAGAAGTAAAAAATCTGCATTAGACGCCATCACGGCCACCTAGTGTAACCAACAAATAAACGTATATGCACGCTGCATAAGGGATAAAGAAATAAAACTTAGTTTATCCCAAAAAAAAAAAAAAAAGCATATCCTATTACAAAACTTCAAAATACAGATATACATTTAATTCAATAAAATTACGCTCCCAATCATGAAACCAAATTGCATGAAACACATCAGGTCTCTCACAAGGTATTCTACGGTCCCGTTTACTTCGCTGATTCAAGTTTAGAATTCAAGTTGAGATGTGACTTTATGTGAGAGCTTTTTACTGTAACAAAAAAGTTAAATGTGATTGTTTGTGAGAGCTTTTTACTGTAGAAAAACTCAAATTCTAAACTCGAATCAGCGAAGTGAACGGACACAATTGTCGCAACACTATCAAGAGCTGAAACAACCATTGTGTTAACAAAACAATAACGAAAATTTAAAAAAATTATAAGGACCTAGGGAGAGCGACAAAGAAATGTTGAGAGCTATGGATGAAAATGCTCATACATTTCTATTTACGGGCTAAGAACCATAAGCAGAGGTTGCACATAGGAGAATTATAAGATTTAAATGTGAGGTTGTAATTCTTAATAAAAACAAACATATAGATTAAGAAATACCAAGTGATCAATTGTTTCAAAATAAAACATCAATTTTACACGACTATTGTTGAAGTATTGAGTCAGACTCAACTTATAGATAAAACATAAGCTAATCTTCCATCCAATAGACCACAAAAAAAAAAAAAAAAAAAAAAAAAAAAAAAAAAAAAAAGAGAGATAATACTAGACAATTACTCAACTATATCTCAAAATACCAGCCCACTCAGAGTACAGATTTGATAGCAAGTTATTTATCAACTCCGCTCAATCATTCAACTCACCTGAAAATCCCACATCACCTATTTCCTTTTCAGTAATTATTACTGTTATATACAAAAAATTCTCTAAATACATAGAAATACAAATTCAAAAACACATCCAAAAAGAGAAAACCTTTACACAAATAGTTTCACATGCAAATACCTTTCTTCAGCGGACGAACGGTGATTCTTTAGCAAACACATAAATTCATTTCAAGCTTGTTCCAGTCATCAAGCTACAAAGCAGTTTCTTGAGAGGATAAAGGCTGTAAAGCACGGATTTTGATATCATATTTTCTGCGTTTTGAAGCTTCATGGCCCGAAGATGAATCTGATTCCTCTAATCCGATGGGGTGAGAAGAAGTGTATTCATCATAAGTAGTTCCAATATGGTTATTGCATTTGCGGCAAAGAAGCTTGGTTTGCCGTCGGAACAAACTCCACGAATGCTTGGAGAAATGGGGTATGCATTGGATCTCATCAACCTGAGTAAATCTGCTATCATCTACGTAGAAGAACGATATGATTCCTCGCTTAATAGATTTTCCGTACTTTGAACCAATTGTGGAGATGTTCCGGTTGGAGGAGCTTAGATTTAGCGCATATCCACAAGAGCCACAGCTTAATGAAGAAGAAAAACAAGAAACATCTTCATGCACCATCTTTGCACATAAATCCAAACAAAAAAGAACTATATAACTCGCAAGAAAACATTGATCGATTGGGAGTAAATAGAAATTTTATCCCATCTTTACTGTTATTAAAAAAAAAAAAAAACAAACAAACAAACAAACTTTTGGTTGCTCTTAACATTTTTCTTTTTTGACTATCACAGAAATCCCAACCGGGCTCCATTTCGCAACAAGAGACCGGCTTGGCGCCCCTGAGGCATTGAATCCCAAGCCAAGTGAGAGCAAACCACCTGATAATCGTAACTCAGTACACTGTTATTATAAGGTGTCAAAAGTTTAAGAAGTGATACATTTAGCAAAGCAACAGTCCACAATAATGTACAATCTTGAAAGCAAAAATGCTTATCAAAACTAGAGGAGGAGAGTTTCAAAAAACCTCTAAAAAGAGTTTTTCTTTTTTTTTCTTTTTTTTTTTTGGGGTAATTCTTTAAAGGGGTTTCTGATAACGACACGGAAAGATGCTTTCTCCACAATGTATAGGTAATTTTCTAGAAACCCACTTTCATCATGTAAAAGGTATAGCAATCATTCAATGTTGTGGGAACCAAAACGATACTCAATCGACATCTTCCATGAACTTTCCAAACAATCCAGCTGTACATGAACGGTTAACCACTAGACCGAGAAAGGATAAGTCTTGCAACTAATAAACGCTAAAAAATATCCTAAAAAGAACGGAGAAGACGAGTTTGAAAAAGACAAAACAAGAAAACCACAAATTCATAATATATAGATTCACCAAATGTCATTATCAAATACCCCCTGAAAATTAAACTGCTTTATTATTTACATTGCCATTTATCAAAAACTTTGGGTACCCATAACTTCTTTAAAATCCTTATATCCCTCATTTTAAGCACAAGTGTCCAAAAGTAATCATCAATTGAGAAAATAGCTTCTCCAAATTTTCCCATAGGCCCAGAAACGACTATGGCTTATTACTAAATCTACCCAAAATGCAATGCAAAAACTGAGGACACATAACTTTAAAAAAAATTGAATAAATAAATCATTCCATCACTAACTGATAGAAAGTTCAAATAGAAGCAACAATGCCTTGATCATCATTTTTCTATTTCCCCGTTATTATGCTACAATACTACTTATTTTGCATCCCTGTTTTTCTGTTTCTCTCAAAAAAGTGAATACAATCTAGAAATCGATTTGTTCACTTGTATCAGAAAAAAAAAAAAAAAAAGATTATCCAGGTATAATATCAGATTAAGGCTGCCACTTATTCTGATCCAAAAGTTCAAGATTGAATTAGTAATCAGCCACTAGTTCTCTCAATTTTGACATAAAGAAATCAAACAATCTTAAAATAAGCGCATCACCCACAAGCCAACAGTAAAAGAAAAAAAAACGGTGGATTTATAATAATTGGTGAGCAAAATTGAGTATCCCCAATCATTGTTTTCCAAAATTTTCGCACACAAACAACTAAAATCAGGTCAAAACAAAACCCAGATAATAAAAATTAATTCTTTATTATAGAAAATAAAAACCGTAATTGAGATAGAAAGAACGAAAGCAAGAAGGAAAGAGAATGAACCTGTAGCTAACATCTCTCTGGGAAGAGGAAGACGTCAAGGAAGGACGATGAGCTCCATTCTGAAACCCATCTTTTATACACGCCAATTTCTCCATATATATATATATGTGTGTGTGTGTGTGTGTGTGTCGAGAAATTAAACTTTGACTATTGAAAGTCTGAATCTTTAAAGTTAAAGCCACGAAACCGAGCTCTATGAAGAGGTCGAAGACGAACGAGGACCGTCTGATTTGGGCGAGCTGTGATAGTGGAGACTCGTGGTTGGTTTGCAGAGACAGAAAGAGGGATCCAAATTTGAGAGAGAAAAACAGGTTCAGAAAACTTCGAAGGAGAAAGGAGAAGAAAGTCTAGGGAATCAGTGCGCCAATAAAAAGGTTCTAAAAAACACTGAAGGACGGTGGCTGGCTCTTAGCTCTTTTATTTTTTATTTTTTTTTATTTTTTATGGAAGTGGCTCTTAGCTTTCGTGTTTCTTAAAAATTTAAAATATATATATAAAAAAACAGTTAGTTAATTAATTTATTTATTTACTTTGATGCCGACATGGTGGGAAATGTGACTTGAATAGGAGAAGTTTTTAATACCTCATTTATTTTATTTATTTGAGTTTTGTTATAGTAAAAATTTTTTAAAAATAATTATATTTAATTTTTTTATTACAGTAAAAAATTCTCACATAAAATTATATTTTAATTTAAATTAAAAATTTGAATCAATAAACTGAACAGACCCTAATCTCTTTAGTTTGATAATTTAAATTTTTAATTTAAATTGATATATAAAATTCAAATTGGTGAACGGGCCGTAATTTAAAGGATTAATAATGACTTATTATTACCAAAAGATAATGATAACGTTCACCCAAAAAAAAATGAAAGTAACAAAATTAATTTGAATTATTAATGAGAATGGCCATCTTTTTATATTACACGTGTCTCTGTTTAAGTTGGCATGCATGATATATGAAAGGCTACAGCGAAGGAGTTGGGATTTTTTTCCTCTTATGTTTATTGAGATTATTGATAAGTAGATTAAACTGGTAGAATAGATTTTTTTTAACAGTTAAATTTATATATTTTTTAAATTTTTACGTTATTTTATATAAATATGACGGAAAAAAATTTGATTTATCTTAGTGTACCAAAAAAATTCCATCTTTACTTATTTGTTTGCCAATCAATGAATTTGTGAATAATTTTCTTTTTTTCTTGAAGTGAAAATGACTTCGTGCATAGGTGAATGAACTTGTTACGAATAACCATTACAGACGGAACATGACTTTTGATATTGATATTTTAATGTTGGGTTTGCTCGGGACTATTTGAATTAGAATTTGTTTGGTTTTTTTTTTTTTTTTAAGGAAAAACGAAGTAATAACATTAAGTAATCATACAGTACAACATTTACACAAATTAGTGGAGGAATCTTTTCTAACCACAAGTATGGGGTAAAGAGAGAGTAAAATAGGGTATGGGGTGTGGGAAACTTACTCGTCTTTGCCCACCCCATTTACATCACTAATAGAAAAAGAGTGTTTTTTTTTTTTTTTTTTTGCATAATTTGAGTTGTATATGTGAAAAAAAAAACACTATAGTAAAAAAGTTAAATTAAATTTCTTTGAGAAAAAATATTGTAATAATATGACTTAAGTCGTGATGACTGTGGCGGTTTTACTTTCTTATCAAACAAATAAATTTTATGATTATGCAACCAATATAGTAAATTATAAACATATTATAGTTGGACTATTTTATCCTTAGTATGTTATTTCCTTAAAACTGTATCCGCTTTTTCCTTAGTGAGTATGGAAGATCACAACGATTTAAAACGTTTGATCATCTAGAAAAATTTAGAAAAATAAAACTATTGATAATTCTATTTTTTTCAGTCGAATTTGCATCAAAAATTGTCTATCCGCATATTTTTTTTCAATCTGATTTAATTTTAATCAAATTTAACGATCAAAATACTAATCTTACCGGTAGAAAGGCCTACCGGAGAAACTCCTTATACAACACTATGAGATTAGTTTTATTCATAAGAATTTTTAAAATCTATTATGTTGTCTTTTACTGACTTTTTTTTAATAATTTTTCAACGCATAGTTAAAAGGTAAATAACTCATGAATTATTTCACCAAAAAAATAACTCTCGAATTAATGGATAAAATTGCGAAAATTCTCCTCAAATTTCGGTCATCGACTCATTTGTGATCTTTGAACAATAATTACTTTCCTTCTGAATTTTTAATTTTTGTAATCCACCTTGCTAAATTGTTGCTAAACTTTTTTGCTGAATGGGAGAATTACTTGTAATTATTTTCTTTTAAGCATTGCATTCTATTTTGTTCCCCTTTACATAAATAAACAAGCATTGCATGTTACAGAATCTTACGTAAACCTTATAGTTTAGATCCTTGTACGGACGTTACTAAAAATTTCAATTTATTTCCTTCATTATGCTGAGAAAACCTCCTTTTTTTTCAAATCACATTTAGTTGGAGGATTCGTTCTCTGATTCGAATTATGGTTCATGGTTCGCTACAGTATTTTCTCTCACAAAAAATACACATAAATTGAAAATGGTTCTAATCTCATAGTTATAATCCATGAACCAAACGGACACTAGTTTTCAACATCTTTTTTAGTTAGGTTTAATAAATTAATTTGATAGGTTGCAACACTGAACGTGACTTGAACGACCATCAAAACCAGGCAAATTAAAGGACAAGGAAATTAGGAACTGCTATTTAGTTTGTGAAGAGACTACAAACAAGTTTGTTTAATTTTGATCCACAACAAGAAAAATCTACACATCTTAGTCCTCTTCATTTTCATCCGTGATGAATTTACCGGTTCCGGGATTCACGGCGGCGATGAAGAAGAAAAGGACGTTTAACAACACAAGGGGCTCGATTTCGTTAATGGGAACTCCGGTCTCTACGTTCAACTGTGCCAGAGCTCCTTTTCCTGTTATGATTTCTCCAATGAGAGCGAATGCAAATCCCAATTGAGCCAATCTTCCAACGAACAGCTCATTTGCCTTTGTGAATCCAAAGAGAGGACCTAAGCACCACCAACATTGCACACAAGTTTTTTTAGACTATAGAAGTCCCAATTTTCATTTAGGACATGATAAAAGAATTGCATCATTGTAGAGAATTATTTGTTTTTTTTTTTTTTTTGTAATGAAAATAAAAATGTGTTAGCAATCTATCAGTTTAAAAATATGTTAGTGAAATTAGTTTGTCACGACAAATTTAACGTGAAATTATATCAGAATCAAATAATATATACACCTTATAAAATTTAAGAAAGAACACATGCTAAAAAAATGTGTGTCCATACAGGATTTCTTAGTTTTTTTTCCCCTAGTACCATATGATAGAATTATTCCCATTTATATGTGGAACTAAAATTTTTTACCTCCTTCCTTAAGACCCAAGGCAGATCTCAAGCTTTTGCCGGGGGGAATTACAGCCCCTTCGATTCCGGTGGGCGGATCATCCACGAATCGACCACGGTCACCCAATGCTCCGATGGCTCCAAGCAGAGTGAAGAGGATGAAGAACAGAAGAAGTGGTTCAGCTTCATAGATGGGAATTCCTGTTTCCAAATTTAACTGTGAAAGAATTCCTTTTCCTGTAATTGCTTCTCCCAACAAGGCTGCCTGCAAAATTATATTACACAGATTTTCTCTGTCATAACTAAAGTTCAAAGCTTACCATTGTTCATATCTATTCTAACTTCCTTGTCATGGAACAAGTTGTTAGACTCATAGTAAACTTTACTGCCAATGGTTCATTTCGTCAGGTTATTTTAGTTTGCTTTCTAGCTAAGTATGGTTTGACTAATTTCATTTTTTATTAAAAGGAAAAGAACCTCTATAGTCTATAGCATTTAAATAAATTTTAAAAAATTGATACAGTTCATGAAAAAAAAAACAGTTTCACGACATATTATAATATAATTTGTTAAAAAAGTAAAATAATTAGGACAAAACAATAATTTCAGTTTTACAGATTTCACGTAATTTTGACACACATATGCTTACATAATAAAATTTTTCACAACGAGTGTAATTGCTCTTAAATAAATTACAGCAAGATAAAAATAGACTTACCGCGAATCCAATCATGGCAACACGCCCCACAAAGAGCTCATTCTGCTTTGTAAAACCAATGCCTCCTGAGGTTCCAAAAATACCATCTTCAACCTTTGGCTTTTCCTTCACAACCTACATTTTACCCAAAAAAAATAAAAAAAAAAAGAGTCAAAAATTTCAAATGAGTCAAACAGATTAAGAGCTCATGAAAAAAAATAAAAAAAAAAACCCCAATAAATATTTGACCTTCTTAGTAGGGGCGGCTTTGGTTTTTGACTTAAAGAGAGCAAAAACAGTTGAAATTCCACGAGAAGATGAAGAAGCCAAAGAGGGATTTCTTGAAGAGAGTGGACTAAAGAAAAGGTGAGAAAATGGCTTTGGTTTGAGGCTTTGAACTTGCAAATGAAGCAAAGGGTGCTTTTGCAAATCCAAAGCATGGCTAGTGGACACAGAGCTAGAGGAAAGTAACATGGTTTGAGCCATTTTTTGGGTGTAAAATTTTCTCTTCTTCTAAGGAATTCTTTTGTTATTTTTATGAGTATATGAGAAGAAGAAGTAACTGGCTCTTAATAAATGTGTCCCTATATTTAAAATGCATTATCGTCGGGCATATAAAAAAGGAGAGGTGTGTGTGTGATGTGGATATGGTGTGAGAGCGAGTGAGAGGCAATTAGAATGCCCACGTCTCATGGTGTGCTTTGTGATGTTGAAGAAGTGACAGAGTTTTTTTTTTTTTTTTTTTTTTTTTTTTTTTTTTTTTTTTGTTATGAGTTAAAGCAAACCTCAAAAATTTCAAATTTTTTTTGAAGTCCTAGTACCAAGTGAAGTAACTGGAACATTCACGTGGCATTCACTCGTCCCATCTTAATTGGAACTTCTTTTTTTTTAATCCCATTTCCTTTTTTTTCCTCCTCTACTTACAAGTATGGTTTGAGTTTTAGTCCATTATAAAGGGACGTTTGATTGGAGGATTCAAACTATAATTTGAATAAGAATTCATGATTTGTTATTGTATTTTTTCTCACAAAAAATACACGTAAATTAAAAATAATTCTAATTCATAATCCAAACGTCTCTAAATTTCTTGCCTTGCGATTTGTAGACATGGTAAAGAAATTGGAATTGTTTAAGCACCACACATTTTGATTTATATATATATATATTATTCTTTTATTTTTTTCTTTTATAACTATAGTAAAAGCTTGTTTTACAATATCTGTTTTTTCTGCTATCCATTTGAGGGGTGATCAAAAGAGTTCCCACACAATAAAAAAAAAATTCGACTAAAATTAATGGAGTTGAACATAGTCTCTAAGTGCTTCTTATATTTTTTGAAAATGATCAAAGGAGCGCACATGCTGGGAAAAAAATCCACTTAAGATTAATTGAATTGATGTTATATTGATTATATAAATATATTCTCATGTGTTTCTTATGTAATTCGGTTAACTTTTCATCTACTTCTCAAACATACATAGAGTGAAAACTGAAAAAAAAAAAAAAAAAAAAGGTTAAGAGATGCTCATATTCAATTATTCATGGTGGTAAATGGTAATTTTAACACATTGAAAAAGCAAATTTACACGTTGGTCGTGGCTGGTTTGAAGTTTGAATAAGGACTAGTGAATGGGAGAAGCGAGATATTGACAAAAGGACACACTTGTGAAGACATCATGGAACTTTCGGGAGAGACCGAGTAAGTCCACCCACCAGTTGTTGGAGATGTGCACCACACACGCACACAAATTATAAATTCCCGTTCTTCCAAAAACAGCCAAGTTGGATGGTGATACACAAAAACGTGACAAATAATGCTTTGGCACATCATCAAGCGTCGACCCACACCCTGTCCATTTCTTGCCAAATGGCGCAACACCATGTGAATAAGCTGATACTTTTCGGTCGATCCTTCACAACCTTTATTTTTCCCCTTGAATTCGCAAAAACCCTATTTCGTAAGAAGAGGGATGACCCAACATTAGGCTTATATAGCATTAGAGCTGCAAGTTTAGGTTAGAATAGATGAGTCCGGAGTTTGTTAGTATTGTTGTGGACTGAACTGAGCTGATGCTTTAAGTTTAAAACTTTTTTTTAGCTAGTTTAGTTTTTTTTAAATTCTTTATAAAATTATGGGCCGTTCCGACCCGATTCTAAACTTGTCTGGCTTTTGAGCCGAGTTAGTCCTACCTTCTACATTTTAGGGCTATCTTTTGGGTCGTCAGGTCCCGACCATAAAACCTAAGCTTTCAGCTTTATATATGACTCTCATTTTATTCGCTGAAGCATTTCCATTTCTTTTCCTTGACATTCTTTAACCATTATAATATTTATGCTGTTATTTTCTCCCTTTAATTTTAATATAAAAAGAGTAGAATTACCTTTAAAAAAAGTATAATTTTAGAAGAATAAGAAAAATTAAAGAAATGGGTGATATTATTTGAGATAGTTATACTATATGGCAAAGTTGTATAGCTTGAGTTAGATTTTTAGAATATTATAAAAAAATAACAAAAATGATATAATAATTATTATAATGATATCACATTTTATACTTTATAATGAAATAGTCATTATTTTAATGATATTAAATTTTGTTATTTTTTTGTAATATTTCAAAAATTTTACTATATTTTATCTTTATTAATTAAATTTTGCTATAGCCCATAGATTGATTCGCTGGCATTAAAGGCCATGATTCTTAACGGGCTTGGGCCTCCATTGTTGCATGTATAAATTGGGAGAAGAGGGGTAATGCATGTCAGGATTTTTATCTACTTAGAAAATATGAGAATATAAAAAGCTTAAAAAAGTATATAGGTAAATTTTTAGTTATAAAAATTAATAGACCATAACTTATTAAATTATGGTTCATAATCAGATCAATTATGGATAAATTTATCAAGTTATGGTTCATAGCCAGACAAGTTATGGACAAAAACTCTAAATTATGGACAATAACTTATCAAGTTATGGTTCATAACTAGATAAATTATGAATAAAAATAGTAATTTAGCCTATTTATTAACTTATGTAAACTATTGGCCTATTAATTTTAATTTATCTCAAGTCTTGACCTATTTTTCTCTTTCTCCCTTTTATCTATTATGTTTGATTTATAATTTTCTTTGTTAAATAATTACATCAATAAAAAGGTATTTATCAAGAATAATGAGTAAAGGTCCAGACTTATGTACTTTTAAAAATAAATCCTCTATTTTTTCTTTAAAAAATAAAAAAATACCGATAAAATATTTATTTGTGAAGGGATGTCAGAATGATTATTCTATATGGCATGTGAGATTGAAAGGAAGATTACTAGCATCCACCTCATCATGAGTGGATCTGGCTCATTTCACCGTGTATATATAAGCTCATACAAAATGCATTTTTTTAAGGGTTCTTACAAGAGTGCATTTAATGCCATAAGAATATAACAAACCCTACATCAAATTTACACACACACAAACATAAAGTTGTTTATAAGTTGTGTTCGCATGTTGCATGTTTAAAAAATTATCTTTAATTCGCCAAGGAATGGATGTTTTTCTAAATAATGAGACAGTCTTCCACCACATGTATATATATATATATATATATATATGAAAATCACATTTGAATTACCACAAATTATCACAGTGTTCTCCTACGCAAATTGATGGCCATAATTACCACCATTAGTTCAAACACGTTAATAAGACAATGCCAGAGGCATAACAATTAGGGAAACAACCCTTAACAAAGCCTCTATCAGTCCTAGAAACCCCTCTACAACCGGCTGACCTTGGCGGCCGTTTGCAGCATGGTTTGTACTTAATTTGATTCACAAGGACGAAACTATACATGACTGAGAGTAAACGGTCGTTCAATCAGTAAATATCAACGTCTCACACTCTTACAAAAAGTCAAGGGAGAAAGAGAGAAATAGGTCAAGACTTGAGATAAATTAAAATTAATAAGCCAATAGTTTACATAAGTTAATAAATAGGTCAAATTACTGTTTTCGTTCATAACTTGTCTGGTTATGAACCATAACTTGACAAGTTATTATCCATAACTCGTTTGGCTATGAACCATAACTTGACAAGTTTGTCCATAACTTATTTGGTTATGAACAATAACTTGACAAGTTATGGTCTATTAATTTCTATAACTAAAAATTAGCCTATATACTTTCTTAAGCTTTTCATATTAGCCTATTTTCTACTATTTCTCAAAAGTCAATTTATCAAAAAAGCCCAAATACACTTTGTTAAATACTAGCCTGCTTCTTCGCGTAGCATCTTTCAACGAGGCAAATACCAATTTGTTCCTTGTGTAGCACGTTTAAGTTCAAACGATTGATTCTCCCCTTAATTATGGTAAGAAAAAGTTTATCTAATTTATTTAGTATTATCTTCAAATATTTTTCTGCTATAGAGCTCATGATACTCGATGACCAACTTAAAACTTATATTATCGATGTTTATTCTAATAATGATAGGATTAAAATGTATTAGCAATCTTACATGAAAAATAGTTCAGATATGAAAAATAATTTATATTCATTAGTTTATTGACTTTTTATATTAGCATTAATTTTAACTTATAAAAATGGTATTTTCCGCTATGAATATTATGAAGAATCGACAAGCAATCGAATGCCGAAAAATCAATTGATGAGTTATATTTTATTGGGGACAATTAGCCTCGTTCATTTCATTGATTCGAGTTTAGAATTCGAGTTGAGATGTGATTTTATGTAAGAGCTTTTTACTATAGCAAAAAAGTTAGATGTGACTGTTTGTGAGAGCTTTTTACTGTAGTAAAACTCAAATTCTAAACTCGAATTAGCGAAACGAATGAGACCGTAGTATATCAATTTGTTGAGTTTGATTAATTTTGTTGTTGTTATTAGCCAATCGCTTTCGTAGAAATTAGCACCTCTGACAAAAATTCCTAGCTTTGTAACTACTAGTCAAATTTAAGTTTCACCGCGGAATAAGATCATCTTATAATATGCAATAAAACATGGTTATATGTTACTGGCACATTCCTTGTGTTATATGCGAGCAAAAGATATTTTATCCTGAAATCAAATTTTAGTACATTGACATTGAAATAAAACACCTCACTATTTCTTTCAAATCATACGAATTCGAAATGAATAATGATAATTTTTCTTTTTTGGAAATTATAATGACAACTTTTTTGATTGAAAAGCATGTGGCCCCAACACCTAAAGTCTTTTTTTTTTTTTTCGGTTGATGAAAACCAAAACCAAAAGTCACTTAAAATCCACAGGCACCACTAGTTCTAAAAGTTTTCATCGAACTTTTCCCTTGTATATATAATTCTCCCTCTCAAGGTCGTGTTCAAGGCCACGCTAATTTCAAAGATCCATTGATATTTCAGTCACCCTCAAAACACCATGTACGTACATCCCTTGACCTCTCTTGCTGATCTCCTTTCTCCGATATATGTGTGTATGTATGTGTGTATATATATATATATATATATATATATATATAATCATGTATGCACACACATAAAACAACCCCACGCTCTAAAATTATGAAATAGAAGAGATTGGAAATAGACATATTAAAATGAAAAAAACAGCTTTCGTATAGGGATGGTTCTCTCAAAAGTCTTCATAGCATGTGACTTTCACCATACTTTTGAACTTGAATTATTATCAGAAACCTTATGATGCCAAAACCCACATTCAATTATTTTGCTGGTGACATACTATATATATATATATATATACACACACACACACACACTATAGCAGATTTGAATGGGTTATAATGACATCTTGTACTTCATATAATATATGCTCTAGTAATAATGCCCTTTTTCTTTGTCTTATGAATTTCTCCATACAACAAGCATATATATTGACATTACTCTACTTCGCATTTATGGTAAAGAATTGAATTATTGACATTACTCTTTTACCTTTATTATTATTATTATTATTTTTTTAACCTTCATCTATTCTAGCACCTAGCTACCCAAGTGCCTAGAACTAGAGGAGTACCAAAATTTCCATTATTCCTCTTAAATAAAAGTTCAATGAAGACAAAGACACACATCACAAGACATTCATCCAAAGTAAAGGGGCCCCTACCATTGCAGATCATGTACAAAAGTTTGTGGTTTTATTGCTAGGTTTGATCCCTTCACTTTATGTACAACATTAGCAGATTGATATGATTTTGATCTTTACCGCACGAAAAGGAAGGTTTGTGTTTGAACATGAAAATAAGAGGGGAAAAAGAATGAAAATTTGAAAACGCTAGTGTAATTTTAACTCGAATGGTACAAAATTATTTGAAAAATGATCGAAAGTGCTACTTAGTTTTCAGTACAATATCATTTGTGTCCCTAGCAAAAATCTTTCTTTGTAACACAAGGAAACACTAATGAAACAACCGACAATATTGTCAAAATCTTACAATTGGTTGCGGTATTTAAGGCATCTTTAAGGAAATTTCATAAATTTTAACAAAATTTTAGTTAAAAATATTGTAAATTTTAAGCGGGTTACGTTAATCATACTTTATATTTTAACTAAGTATAATAAATATTTTAAAATATTAATTAGATTTAAAATATAAATAACTTTATTGATTCATGCATGGGGTAAACAGTAACTATGTTAGTAGGTGAAGTTTCCTTGTGTTTGCTACAAGGAAGCAAATGCTAAAGAAAAATTCCATACATTACAAGTTGTTTTTAATACGGCAAGGCCAATATTGAAGAACAATATACATGTATCATTGTCACTATTATTATTTTTAAATCAATCATTGATTTACATGTAAACTTTAAGCTTCAAAATTAAATCACAATTTTTCATTAGCCACATAACGGATGCATTTAAAAACACAATAAGGTGCATTATGATGGCCTTGATTTGGTAACGACGACATCTCAGGTTTGAGTCCTATGGAAAGCACTTAAGACTAAACCGGTTATGGTTTCGTCTCTAAACACAAATAGTTATTAATTATTCAAATAATCTTCAAAAGAACAATTTTAATTTTGATTCTCACTGTTGTGTTCAAAAAACACATACATGATAAATATTGGTATTGAAAAAAAAAAACTTTATAATTCTAAATTGTCATATTACATAAAATTAAAAAGAAAATATTATTGTTTAATTAAACTTGATGAAAATTCTATTAGAGTTGGAATTGCGTATATGAGAGCATAGCTTTTAGCAAGTGGAAGACGCCACTATCGGTGATTACAACATCAAAACTAAACCCATTAAATGGTAGAGTTTTAGCACGTGGACAACATCACCAATGGTTATCATGACATCAAAATAAACCAACTAATCCCCTAAAAAAAACCTACTAAATGGTGTATGCATTTGATGTAACGTGTCAAATCTAAGGGTTAACTATTCCGTTCCAGATGAAATATAAAAAATTTCGTTTGGTTGGAGGATTCAAACTATGTGATTCGAATAATTTTTGATTTACGTGTATTTTTTGTGAGAAAAAATACTGTAGCAAACTACGAATCATGATTCAAATCAGGGAACGAATCCCTCTACTAAACGCC